TTTTTTTTTCATCTCAATTGTAATCCCTGTGGGTTTCCCATCACCGAGTTACCCATGTGCCATAAAGAACAAATATTTTAACTCAAGATTTTCACTTTTTTGTGATTATCTTTATTGCTTATATTAATTGATATATCCAGTTGAGCCTACTAATGTATTGTGTTAGCTGAATTGCTTATGTAGATCAATTTTAAGAATGGAGGGGGGAGGTATTAGGATATTTGAAAATTTTTAAGAGGTATTTTTATTTACTACTGGAAATCATACTAAATATTTTAAATTCTAATACATTGTATAATAGAACCATTAAAAATTTAGAATGTGAAGAGCTTTAGAAGTCTAGCTCAACTCTCAGATTTTATAGATTAAAAAACTAAGAGGCATTCCGATATTAAATGACTTACCTACATAATTTTTATTGTTTCTGAGAAATTTTAAGTTGAATTCTACTTAAATGTATGGAGTGTTTCGGAATATTATGCAGTAAATTCAGATTTTTATATTTTGGTTTTCAAAGTTGGGGTTCCTCTATATATTCTGTGCCAGTTTAAACTATTTTTATTAAATTATATGTCTTTTTCTGTGTAGTGAATCAGTTCAAGAAATTTTAGTGTCTACTGAGATTGCAGAGGAATAGTTAACCTTTTAATCTAATTTCAGAGAAAAATGAAACATTTTAAAGTGAATTACCATGTGCTATAGACTCTATAGACTCTTACTGGATAGTCAGTCCTTAAAGTTACTTTCTTATCTCTCTCTTTTTTTAAAAGACTTATTTATTTATGCATACAGAACTGGGTTACAGGCCAGAGGTGCAGGGGCGGTGAGAGGATTCACCAGAGACAGAGTGGGGAGCAGAACAGGCAGATCGACGAAGTACACTGCTGAGGGGAGCAGCGGGCGAGTCAGGAGAGGTCTGTCGCACCATGTGGATCACCTCCAGGGTAGCACTCGAACTCATGCAGAAGTGGCTTTAACTTCTTAGTGCTGTGCTTTAACTCGCTGTGCCACCAGGGAGGGCCCTCTTTATCTCAGTTTAATTGCCATATTCCAGACCAAATTTATGGTGGATTTTTTTTCTCCTTTTTACAGGGACCACTTGTGCGGTGGCTGAAAGTAAATTTCAGTGAGGCGTTCATTGCGTGGATTCATGTGAAAGCTTTAAGGGTTTTTGTGGAGTCTGTTTTAAGGTAAAGAAAGTTAATTGAGAAAGTTGGAACTAAAAAGGTCCCTTTACCTTGGACCTCTTTATCATAAAATAAAATTCAGTAATAGGAAATTGATTTCGAGTAACTTAAAGGTCAATCTTGAGACAGATTGTCAATTTCATATGCATATTACATGCATGTTAGCCTTGTCCTAACACCAGGTTGGGAAAAACAGATCCATGCTATTGTAGAGTCTTGGGTGGTTAATTAATTTAAAGTAGATTATAAATGTTAGATTAATGCTTGTTTACTAGAGCTTTAAAAAAAATTTCTTTTAAACAGATTATTTATTTGTGCATACAGAACTGGGGTACAAGGCAGAAGTGCAGGGGTGGTGAGAGGATTCACCAGAGACAGAGTGGGGAGCAGAACAGTCAGATTGGCGAAGTACACTGCTGAGGGGAGCAGCGGGCAGGCCAGGAGAGATCTGCCACGCCATATCGAACTCATGCTGAAGTGGCTTTAGCTTCCTAGTGTTGTGCTTACACTCGCTGCACTGCCAGGGAGGGCTGGTCTTCCACATATTTTACATGTGATTTGATATGGAGTATATTAATGACTTTTTGCAGTCATTTCCTATTTCTTATTAGCTTAGAACATTTTATTATTTTGAGAACTAGAAAATTCATTTTGTGCTCCTCTCTACATGTTACTCACCGAAAAATAGTTAAGGGAGGGCTGGTCTTCCACATACTTTACATTTAATTTGATACGGAGTATATTAATGACTTTTTGCAGTCATTTCTTATTTCCTATTAGCTTAGAACATTTTATTATTTTGAGAACTAAACTCATTTTGTGCTCCTCTCTACATGTTTACTCACACGAAAAATAGTTAAAAGAACTTAACTTTAGCCATGCTTTCTATTTTTAAATTTCTTTGAGTTTTCAAAATTGATGTGAGTAATTTCATGTTGTTTACATGGGTGGGACTAGATAGGATTATGCTAAGTGAAATAGAGAAAGACCAATACTGGATGATTTTGCTTCTATGTGGAAAATAGAGGAATGAAGGAATAGTCAACCAAGTCAAAGCATACCCTAGCTTGCCTCTCTGGTGGCCTAGGGATTACGTCTCAGTGCTATCACTCGCCCAGCCAAGGGGCTGACCCTCATGGCACAACAGATCTCTCTTGTCTTGCCTGCTGCTCCCCTCAGCAGTGTATTTCAGCAGATATGCTTGTTCTGCTCCCCACTCTGGCTCTGGTGAATTCTCTCACTTCCCCATACCGATGGTCTGCACCCCTGTTCTTCTGTGCAAAAATAAATAAAATATTTTAAAAAATAGACTAAACCCTGGAAATCTTACTGTAGAATTGAGGTACCAGGTAGGAAGGGAGCGAACTGTGGGTACTTAGAGGGTGGGTATCGTGTGACAAATAACATCTTAAAAGATGTCAGTATGAATCATGTGGTGTTGCATACCAGTGTTACCTCAGTGCAAATAATAAGATTTTTTTAAAAAACCTCATGTTGTTACATTAACGGTATCTCTAAGTCTATATATTTATCACTATTTCCTAAGGGTATTATTCATAGATCATCTTAAAAATCAGAGTAATTAAAAGTAATTCCTAGGAGACAATTGGCCCTCCTTTTAAACAAGGATTGCTAGTGGATAAGACTAGACAAAGTTTGGATTTTAGGTTCATTTAAACTTTTAAATGTTTATTTAAACTTGTAAATGATTCCTTCTCCCTATTACCTGTGCTTTAGAAAATCTGTGTGTTTGCTTGTGTTACACGCTGGATTTCTGCTTCCTTTTAAGGTACGGCTTGCCAGTAAATTTCCAGGCAATGCTTCTTCAGCCTAATAAGAAAACAATGAAGAAACTAAGAGAAGTATTACATGAATTGTATAAACATCTAGACAGCAGTGCTGCAGCCATTATTGATGTGAGTGCTTGCTTCATAGCTAGCACAGGAACTGGGCTACAGGAATGAATCTCAGAAAAAAGTGCTTGAACAGGATACATAGAAAGGGGATAGTGAATATCTTGTGTGTGTGTGTGTGTGTGTGTGTGTGTGTGTGTTTTGAGGTCTTCAGTGTTAGATGATGAGTAATTAAATGGCAAATAACTTATCTTGGTATCCAACACTAGTTGGAGCTGTGCTTTGCTTCTTGATATTTCTAAAACTTAGTCCTAAATCAGAGGTTTAAACCTGTAAGAAATTCAGAAATACCCACTTATACTAATTTTGTTCAAAAATTATAAATTTCAGAGAGAAAATAAGTAGCTATTTTGACTTATTTAGTAGAAATAGGGAAGTTGATAGGTAACTTTAAGAGGAATAACCACTTTTCTAAAACAGTATGTTTTTATCTTCTGAAGATATGAACAAAGTGGATTTCATTTTCTTTTGTGGCTGTCTTTTAAAACTTGTGGGCTTTCATATTTTTTTATTACCACTGGTTTTTTCTTCAGGTTGGAGTGGTAGTATCTCACATCCACTAGTTAGAACCCATAAACATGTTTTTCCTGAAACATTTACAAGAAGTGACTACATTTTCATTGTTATGGAATTGTTGATACAATATTAGGTCAAACTATTTGAATTTCATACAGAAAGGTCTTATGACATGCATGCTTAATAAATGTACACCACACATAGTTTATTTTTATCCACCATTCGGTAGGACTTGTATCCCATAAACTCAGCACCCTGATCCGCAGAGGATGAAAGCAGCTCTCCTCCAGGCACAGAGGAATGGTGGGGCATGGCACGCACACAGGCCTGGCTCAGAGCAGCGTGGGTCTCGCTCTGCTGCTCGCAGTTCCTGCGGCGAGTCAGCCTGAGCTTGTTTGCTCGTTTGCAAAAGGGAGATGATAATATCTCACTTGGGCTAGATTAGCATAAAAGCCTGAACTTAGCCCAGGGTGAGTGTAAATAAGGTGAGTGGTAATACTGTTTTCTTATTTGTGTAATGCCTACTGGAACGATTATCTGCTTTTCCCATAGGCGCCGATGGACATCCCAGGCTTAAACCTGAGTCAGCAGGAATACTACCCCTACGTGTACTACAAGATTGATTGCAACTTGCTGGAATTCAAGTAAAAATGTGCTCTCCCGACAGCCCTGCCCTTGTGTTGGTGTGTGCTAACAAATAGGCTGCAGAATGACAGTACTCTAACTCTCTTACCCTTTGCTTGCTTCTTACCCCTCCCTGGTGAGTTCTCCCATAGTGGTCTACTTCTCAATATTTTCTTTTTAAAAGAAAATAATATGTCTTGTTCCTTTTTATTGATCAGGTCTGTAAATGTGTACTACAAAAATCAGAGTTTATTTATAAACAGAATAGTTTATTTAAAGCGAAGGCCTTTCCTCATCAATATCGTGGTATGCATTGATTCCATTCGTTACTGTTGTGCACAGAAGCCTGTTTACAGGAATGGTGTAAACATTTATGCCATTTTGTTCACTGTATTTAGTGTAGACATAATTGTTCATAGTTACTGAATTGTGATGTAAAGAAATGTGATGATATTCAAGTATGTGATTTCTGAATGTTTCAAATTACAATCTCTGAGCACTGTTGACACCCCACAGGAGAGAATAAAATTGCCTGTGCAAAGGTGTGTTGTGGTGTGTGTACCTTCAGAAGATTCTAGTTCAGTATGAGTCTAATATATTCCAGCAGAGCCAGCTTGCTGCGCTGCCCTCAGGGTTTTGTTACATAGAGAGATGTGACCATTTATGTCTGACTTGCATGATTTAAATGTGCCAAATTTGGGTCAGCTACAAATTTGGATTTATTTTTGAAATAGAATGGTATTTTCATTCAGGCTCTATATCTATAGACTTTCCATTTTTTAAAATAGGAAGCCGGGCCAATTCTGAGTAAGGAATAGCAGAACGACCCAGCCTAGTCATTTGTTTTGTTTAAACTAATTATCACGTGTATACGTGTATACGTTGATACACCCCCCCTTCTCGTGATCTATAATTATAAAAGCCTTTGTTTTGACATTTATGACATTGTCTGAAAGTAGAGGCATTGCTAGTCTTTAAAAAAATTGCTGAGCGGGTGACTTAGTTTAGCACCACAGCAAGTTTTTCCAAGTGGGTTTATGGCAGGCCTGCCCTTCTGCGCACTCACAGGCTCGTGAAGGGGAGAAAGTTGACATTTTATTTTAAGGGCATTTGCGAACTATTCTATTCCCGCGAGGAAATTAGTCTCTGAAGTCCTTTTTACTTCAAAAGTAATTTAAACCACAGCAAAATACAGATATCTCTAAGGTCAAATGTGAGAGGTGACTCCCTGCTCCTCCAGTGTCTTCTTCCCAAGGAAGTTTATGTTTTCTTTTCTCCTGGGCTTTTTTCTGTATTTTACTACACACACACACACACACACACACACACACACACACACACACACTTTATTTTTATTAAAAAAAATTTTTTTTGCACCCGAGCATCCCTATCAAGAGTATAATTTATTTTTAGATTAAAAAGGTTCACACTACACATATTCTCAATTGACTTATTGTTTTGTCTGTCCAGAATGCCTTTACATGCCATTGTATCTAGAGCTACCTCATTCATTTCCGTGGTCACAAGGTGAAGGTGCATTGCACCATAATACTTTGAGCTGAGTGGATGAGTCTCAGGCAGTAGTAAGTGTCCTTGTGCAGGAGGGTTTGTGTGCTTTTTAGTATTCCTGTAAGAGAGATCCTGGGAGTAGGATTAAAATTTTGGTACCACTGCCACGCTGTCAGAACTTTAAATTCATGGCATATTTGGAATGAGTGTATTTTTTTTTTTAGTTTTGATTAAAAATGTAATTTCAATTTTGTTGTCAGAAAATTCTGGCGCTCTTTTTCTACAAGTGTAAAGCGGGTGTAATCTCTGTCATAGTGGGATGTGTTTTCACAGTTAAAGTAACACATGGCTTTTAAGGTTTTCTGCAGACCTTCACACTGTTCAGATCAGGTCCTGTAGGCAGGGGTTTGTCAAGAACAAGGGCCCCGCGTAGGAGGGTATGCGGCACTAGGCCTGCAGTCTCTCTCAGGGATGCTCTGCAGTGGCAAGAGTGGCCCTGGAGCCAGACCGTGGCCTGCTGCTGCTTTGCTCTGGCATTGCCACACCCGGCCTCCACGGGGATCAGTAGAGCTCCCGCCTCCTGGGACTTGTGCTAAGGCAAGGAGGTCTGAGCTGGGGGCCTGGTGAGAGCTTGATACGTGTACTTGCAGCCACCGGGAGTGCCCATAGTGGCTTGAGTTGTGTTATGTCTGGGAATATCAAGATACATGTCATTGTGGAGTCTGAAGTTTAGAAGTAATTACGTGTCTGTGGGAGTGTGCCCGATGGCTGCTGTCTGCAGCAGCATTAAAGGAGCCTAGCGTCTGCGCTCCAGCCTGTGTTGGATTATTTATATTGCTCGTGGCAGCTGCCTTTCCTGGGAAGGGACTTCCGGCTGCCTGCCTGCCTGCCTTTGTGAGCGAGAGTCTGTCTGCTGGTCTTCCTGTAGGACAGAGCTCAGATGACTGAGGTTCATGAGATATTTTCTGAGTGTCCTAGGAGCCCACTTTCTCCACCGGGTTACCTCTACTCTTCTCCGTGTTGCTTTTCCAGGGGGGTGGATGAACCCATTTGAGACACACACAGGCTCGAGTCAAGGATGATTAAATGATTTCTTTGTTAAAACTCACGAATGTTCGGTGGGGTTAGAACTTGAATCTAAGATTCTCACTGCCTGCCCTTTGCTTTACGCCTTGGGTTCTCTTCCAGGTAGCACATGGCTGAGCCAAGTGCATCCTTTACCCCTCCTTGTCCAAGACTGGCAATGGTAGTCAAAGGGCATAGGTGTGCAGAGGGTGGGATTCAGTTCTGGGGTCGGTATTTGAGAGGATCCCAGGACCCAGGATGTTTCATCAGTGAAGGGGGGGGGTGATATGTCAGGGTGGTGCATGCTCATCTCAGCAGCCTGCCTCACGCAACCCAGGTTTTCCTCTCTGCTGGTACCCGCCGACCTTGCCCTGAGCAGACACTGAATGGCCCCAGCATCATGTCTTCCCTGCAGCTTTCTGCATGACCCATCAAGTAGGACCTTTAAACTACTGTTTTGTACATATAGCAGATACTTAGTAAATGTGAACTTTTCTTTGTTCTTTTACTTGAAAATTAAATAGTCCCAAATGTTGGAAAATAAAATACAAGAAATTGATACAGGTGTGAAGTTGTTCTTCCATTACCGACTGCCTTTTTTTTTTTTTAAGAAAGATCAAAAAAATAACGTATGCACAAGGTTATAAACCACCTACACAAATGTTATTGAAAAAAATATTGATGAATCCTTGCTGGCTTTTAGGGAAAAACAAAGTATGTTTTCTGTTAACATCAGCAAGAAATGATCTGTCTTAGAAGGTCTGTAACAGAGGAAATCCATTGAAACCTTTTCTAATTCAGTTCTTGTCTCTAAGTTGATATTAACCCACTTCAATAAGAAAGCTTACTTATGGTCTTTATTTCTCTAGTACAGATAATTTTAGATAAGCACATAAACATAATTCTGATGTTAAAAAAGGGAACATGACACTTCAGAACCATTTTCTTCACCAATGGATTGAACTTAAGGATTTTGCCAGATCTGGGCCCCATGCTGTCTGAGAAGAAAGGATGCAGAAGAGGACTATAGGAGAGATTAACAGAATCTGTGATTGCTTAGCTCAAATGAAAGAGTGAAACTGAGGTAGAAGCAAGATAACATTGCTTACCTTCAGATCAAGAGTGGCTTCAGATCAAGAGTGCCCGATAATGCAAGAAGAGGAAAGTTTAAGACGAAGCAGAAGGCAGTCAGCCTTCTGACAGTTGATAGAAACTGCCTGACAATTGCTCAGAATTGAATTTAGCTGTTACAGCCACAGCAGTTCTCCCTTGGGGGGTTAAATAAAAGTGTAGATCCATTGTCAGACTCCACAAAGATGTCTTGCGTAGGCCCAAGGAATGATCTACATTTTTAACACCCAGGAGTTCAGATGCAGGGACATCAGCAAGCTCCAACCTGCTGCAATCACCTTTTTTTTTTTTTTAAAGATTTATTTATGCATACAGAACTGGGGTACAGGCCAGAGGTGCAGGGGCAGTGAGAGGACTCACCAGAGACAGTGGGGAGCAGGACAAGCAGATTGCCAAAGTACACTGCTGAGGGGAGCAGCTGGTAGGTCAGGAGAGGTCTGTCACGCCATGTGGGTCACCTCCAGGGTGGGGATTGAACTCACCCTATAGTGGCTTTAGCTTTTTAGTGCTGTGCTTTAACATACTGCACCACCAAGGAGGGCCCTGCAACCACCTTTTAAAGGTTCTTCTCTGCCTCTCAGAGAGGGTCTCTTGGTGTATGACCTGTGAGCATCTCAAGGTCTCAAATATGATACCCTTCTGTTTCACACAGGCATACTTAGTAGGATCATTCTGGATTTGTCACCTTGTACTCAAGCATTCTGTCATTAATCACTGAAACCATAAAGTTCTACTTCAATAGAAACTGAGCAGTGTGGGTGTCCTTTACTCTTGCAAGGTCATAGAACATCAGATTGCAATTCCCCCAAACTTGAAAATAATCAGGGTCACTTTTCAATCTATTCACTGAAACTTTGGGTGTGACTTAGCACTGATTTTAAAGTGTAAAAGGACAACTAAAACCAGACTTTAAAGGAATAGTTTGTACGAAGAAACAAAAAAGTGGTACTCAGAAAAAAATGCAAAAGAAGTTAGATACAAAAGTTATTGTTGATGTAACCTAGAAATAAACATCAACTGCGTAACAGACCATGAGTAGGAACTCTCCAGAATATCAAATCCAGAGGGCAGCTTTCATGTATTGTTTCCTAGCTTAGACAATGGCCCTGTTGGAGAGTTCTTTGATGAGTCACTTTGAATTTAAATTAACGTGTAATTGACAGGTAGCATTGGTTTATGGTAAACAATATGATTTGATATTTATATGCTTTGTCATGACCACAATAAGTTGAGTTAACATCTGTCACTGTTTAGAGTTAAACCATTTTTTTTTCTTGCGATAGAGCTTTTTAAGATTTGTTCTACCAGTATCTTTCGTACAGCATTAACTGAATGTAGACATTCCCTGTCTATAATTTATTTCATAACTGGAATCTTGTACTGATGATCCCTTCACCCATTTCATGTGCCTGCTCCCATGGCAGTCTGTTGACAAATCATTGTTAATTATCTTTTTCACTAGAAGAAATTACCAGATTTTGTGTTTCACTATCTAGGTAAATATTTGAGTTGATTCTGGGAGTAGTTACAGGTCTAGTATAGGTTTTATATAAAGTCGTTTATTTTTAAAAATTAAATTGTGATAACGCAGGTACTTTATTTTGCCACTAGAGGGCACTCTGATGCCACTGAAAAGGGAACAGGTAGTTTCTTCCCCCCCATTCCCACTCATGGTTGGTTGTGAAATATACACTCAATTTAGAGAAGCCCCACAAATACTCAGCAGTGTTCTGATTTGGAATATCTTATTACAAGTGTCTACTAACATAAAGTTCTCAGAAACCATTAGATTATGTTATCATACAAGCCTGTGTGTGTATAGACTCCAGCTGCTTTTTGTGATGAGTGCAAGCTAGTGACAAAGTTCACCAATGAAAGCAAAGAGATTATATTTGTATATACAAACACACACACTTTGTGGGTGTGCTTATATGTCACTGGTCAGCAAACAGTTATTAAACACACACTATGAGCCAGGCATTGATTCAGGCACTGGGGATGTAACCCCGAGTCAGCGCCAGTCTGATTGGCCTTACAGTCTGATAACAGGTGGTAGCTTTGCTTGACAAAATACAAATCTGGCAACCCAAGGTTAGAAAAAATATCTCACCTGGGTGCC